ATATATAACAACAGTTTAAGTCCTTCTCTCAAAACGTTTCCCAAACAAATTCCAGCCAGATGTTAATGACAGAGACCTGCTTCAAGTAATGATATGCCTAACAAAAACCTTGCAGATGTACATCACCACCCCTATGTTTCCTTGTTCTATCCAGCACAAACAGATGCAAGAAAATGTTATAGACTAGTCTTTTTAGACTAATTACAATTTTGATTCATCTCCTGGAAGAATGGACTAACACATTTTTTTTTTTGTTTAGCCTCCACTGTGAGGAAAAATAGATGACTACTTGTGCACAAAATGTACAATGCTGAAAGTCAAGTCATCTACCTTCAAAGAAACTGTTAGTAACTTCTTGACGTTGCTATTATACTGAGACTGTGGGCAGCAGCAACAGCAGGAGAGCGTAGTAGAGAAAATCTCGTATTTCATGCAAAACCAAAACGGACTTTAGGTAGGTTGGGGAAAGAAACTTGTTCAATTTGGAATGGTCTCTGAAAGTGCCCCTGCTATCTTAAACAGTATCTAGCACTGGTGGTGATGTTCAGGAATCATTTTCAGTGATAAACCTAAGATGACAGTGAAGCAGCAGAACAAAAAAGTTATTCTCGTCCACTTGCGGAGTAGGAAAACTGGGGGAAATGCGGCCGCCTCTCATTGTCCATGCAGTCCATACCATCCTCGTCATCTGTGTTAAGGGAGAAGTTCAAAATGTCATTATATTTGCAACAAAATTTTATTATTCACCAGATATGCAGTACATCTTTCAGGGTTCAACGCTGAAGTTAAAGGCTCAAGTTAAAGTAAGACTTTATTCACGTAAGCTTATGCTCATATGGCAGAATGATGCTCCCTGGAAGGACATCCTTACAATAAGTCACCATGCATTTCATGGTGGGTTGGTTTGTTTATTTCTTTGATTTATTACAGCTATCACCTGAGAACTTCAATCATTATTATCCCTTCTAGGCTAATTAAAACATACCGGCACATCTAGCTTCTGGTAGCAAGCAGACGATTTCTGACTCAAGCAGGCAGATTTCATTGTTTCTTAAGCTGAGTTCAGGAAAATATAATCTTACTGTAGATGTATTGAAATATTCCTCCATTTCGAAGGGAGTTAAAAGGAAAAACAGCTACAAAATGAACAATTCAGACGGGTTCCATGTGTTTCAATTCTTACATATTATTTCTTAGTAAACTATTTATTTGCACAGTATTTACTGGGATCAGAGGAAACACAGAGTAAGCCAAATTCGTAAATATTTTTATTTACAGAATTCCTGCAGTGCCAATGGAAACCAGGCATCAGATGTTGCCTGACTCTGCGAATTTGGACCTACAAGCTCACATGGATTTTTTATCAGTGCTTATCCTTAAAGACTCTTATTGAAACTGTTATTCTAGAGATGTACTTATATGCAACCTTTCAGAAATACGTATCTTTCGTATCTTCATGTATTCTATGTATAAAATCTAGAGTTAATGCAGGTTTGAGCAATTGCTATGATGAGGCTGCTTGACTAACAGTGCCTCTCAGTTCCTGTAACTTCAAATACAGCCTCCCATTTACACTGCCAATTTAAATTAGATTAATGTACAGAGCTCGTTCGTTTCGCTATCAGTTTGATTACTGCAGCTACAAGATATACTTTCAATATTCACTTAGCATGATTTATAAAGCTTTGATATCTAAATAACCGGGCTAAATGTTATAAAGATTATTTCTGTAACTATAGAAGAGTTCAGCAGTAATTTTCTAATACACAATTAACAGCCCTCCGTCCCTCAGGTGAGGCAGCACTGCCAGCTCCCTGGGAGGGCTTGTCACATCAACAACACCACACCATCACCCCCCATTTTATTATTCTTATGGTTGGGGTGGGGTTGTAGCCTGGGCTAAGTTTCATGCTGCACCATTACCAGAGGCCAGTATAGGTACTTGAGGTAGGTAAGTCATTTCCCTGCAGAATTACTGATTATCTGCTCTGAATTCAGTAAATTTACAGCTGAAGTCTTGGTAGCATATGCAGTTTGTATTGCTTCCACCTCTGACAGATAAATAGCCCTTCTCATTGCATATGTGGAGTTTCAAGAGGTCATGACTTTATGATACTGAATCAATAGACTCAAAGTTAATCCAAATTTTAGCAAAATTTGTTCAAATTACAAATATGAACAAATTCTTATCAAGATAGATGGGAGAAGAAAGGGTCTTTTTTTCACAGCAGGAAGACTTAAAAATCACATAAATAACTGTATTCAAATACTACAAATGCTAAATCAAGAAAATAAGCCAGATGTGTATAACAAAAAACTGCAGCTAAACCTGGGAATCCTAAAACACTGAAAAATGAGCTAGCTCTCTGAACAGGTAATCAACCTTAACCATAGCTTTTATTGTTGACCTTTGTGATCCTACTTCCCCATGCTCCAATTTAAAAAAAAAAAAAAACTCACTTAGAAAGGAAATTCATTCAAGAACTCAGCAGCAAGATTTTGACTGCTGCAACTTGATAAGTAACTCTGTTAAGCCCTGGCTTGGCTGATCAGATCATGATTCCTTGTGTGTGTAGCAGAAGATGACAAAAATACAAACTGCAGTGAAATTACATTCACTCCAACAGAGAAACTCTGTGCAAGGCCCCGTGCAGCAGTTACATCTATTTTAATAACTCGAGAGCTCTGCTGAAGCACAGCACTTGGTAGGTAATTTCATTTTCAAGTAATGGATATCTACACAAGAGACGTGGCAGCTCTTTATTTCTGGTCTTCAGAGTATTTTAAAATATGCCTAACTCACTAAACCAAGACAATCCACTCAGGCTACTAGTAGGGTCCATGTTCCAAGTACTTTGTTGAACTGGGACCTTAAGTGCCAACCAGCAAACATTTGAATCTGCTGTTTTCCCTTATTCAAATTAAAAAAAAAAAAAAAAAAAAACAAACAAAAAGGATTTGAAACCCAAAACCCAAAAAAACCAAGCAAACAAAAAAACTCACACCAAAAACTCCCCCAAACCCAGCATGATCCAATATTCTAAGCTTTGTAATTACTCCATCTTTAAAAGAACATTGTCCTTGAGAGTTACTCTTACATAGTTCCAATATGAAGATTTTTACTAGTAACAATGAGAATAGATTTTCCATTCAAACAGAAAAAAACGTTACATGGTGCTTTACTATAAACTGATGAAAGTTACGCTTAATGCATAATTTCTGACTTACATTTTTCAGGCGGTGTTATTGTAATAGTCTGAGCTGTAAATTCTTCATCAAAATACCTGGTGTCTGTCTCGGATGTCACTTGAGGTTTAAAAGGAGGTACAAGCTGAAAGGGACCAAGAAACAAAAAGAAATTACTATAGCTGAGACCAGCCAAATTACTACCAGGAAAAGAAGTACATTCCTCTTTTTCCCCTACACCCTAGATCAAATGAGTAGTTGCAAGAGGGTCCATGGAGAGGCAGCTGAGTTGAGCTCTAACTTCTACTAAGAGATAGAAGCCATTAGAGTCAATCTCAAAAATACCAGGTTCAGAATCTAGCTAATAGCTCAACACAGCTGAAGGCCAAGTATCACACACAGATAAATTGAACTGCATAAAGATAAATACCTAGAAACTCTTCAGGCCAGCACAGGTGTCAGGCAAAGGCTCCGCTAGGTACTCCACCGCAGCTGGGTGGTACAGACAGCTGATGCTAAAGGCACTGCACAGAGAGCACAGCAAGCACGGATGCATTTTTTGCAGGGTTAAGGTTTACATCTGAACTTAACTTTAAAAGAAACTATGTGAATGTGAAAGCAAATGTATTTGAGAAAAGGGCAGTTCAGGCTGAAGTGAGTTTCCCGAACACAACAGTGCTGGATCTAACCCTGCTCCTGCTTGCACAGCGCAGCGCTGCGTTTCCCAACATCCCTACGACTGGCTCACAGCTCACAGGTGGGACTTCCCTGCCCTCTTTTGAACCAGCCTTGCAACCCACCTCCTCCAAAAGAGCCTACGGGCCAAAGATTTGAACTGGAGGGCATATTCGGCACAGAATATCACACTGCTTGGTGCCAGTCCAAAACAACAGAGCAGGTCAGTGTGTGTGATATTGCCAAGGCAGGTGCGTGCAGATGACAATGTTTTGGTTTGTAACCTGCTCAGAAGCAATTTACAACACACCCCGAGGACAGCGTGGCGACTTCCCTGCTACGTGAGAGGTGAAATGAGGGCTGACTCACATTATCTGAGCTTGGGTGTGGTTTTCATTGGTTTCTTGTTCTCTCAACTCCAGAACACCAACACCAAACAAATAATTTGTTATTTTACCCCACAGCAAAGGAAGCCCAACTGCTGTCAAACCCCCTCCCCTCAGCAACCTCAATGCATGAGACACAATTTTCACGACATACATTGCAGAAACTCTTCTTTTTGATGATGATTTTTAACAATAATAAGCGTCTTCATTATTTTACTATGTTTGATGCACAAGAGGTTTTTTTTTGTACAGCTTGGAGAGATCTCCATGAATTGGTGAATGTTAGAAGCAGCTCTGGATCTCAGTGCTGCCCAAAGGAGACTAGGAGACTACACAACCCGCAAACACATCCATCCAAAATCCAGAAAAGTGACGCTGACCCTGCGAGGGCCTGACTGTGTGAGCACGAGAACGTAGTGCTGTGCAACCCACCAACGAAAAACAGCTTTCAACGAGATGCTCTTCACAGTAGATCTCTATCCATAAAATTATTTCTATTGGTTCCTAATACTTTACAGTTTGGGATAAGGCATAAAATATTAAAATGTGATAAAGAGCATAAATGGGACACTTAAACAGCAAGACAACCACAAAAAAAAAAAAAAAGCTAAACAAAAGCACATGTAGGCGCACACACACAAATCCTCTCTCCATTTTTTATCATCACTACGAATGCATACACAAACTCCCATTGTTTCCAAATCCAGGTTGAAAATTGCCACCCAGTTTTTTTTCCTGTTTTCCCTCTCACAGTGGACATATTCCACTGACAGCTGGTAAAGTGAAAGCCATGTTAGCTGGAGAAAGACACCTTCATTGTATTCTGCAACATGAGAACCACACCAGAACGCTGGCTGGTTCTTTGGATGTGGGACCACATTCTGCTGCCATCCCTCCCAGGATACAAGTCCTCCAACATTACCCTTCATTCAGCAATTTGACTCCTTTCTCCCTGCAACAGTTTATTTGTCTAAGGGCTCTATTTTATCGGATCCAAATCTTCAGTGACAGTCCAAGCAATCATTAAGCAAAAATAAATCTATCACTTGCATATACTTAACATGGTACAATAAATCCAATTAATACTTTCATAAACCTCAATTCAGGATTCACTTCCATTTTCCTGAATGGAAAACATACAACAGACCCAAAATAAAACAAACTTCATCGATCATGGGTGATGGGAGGAGGCTGGTGCTCCAATTCAATGCTCAGCAGCTAGGCTTAATAGAAAACTATTTATCAATAACATCCAGTAAGTCAGCTTATGAAATTTCCAGTTATGGCAGAAATCAGCTGTCTGGGGAAGTGAAACAAGTAAAACAGACAAAACTCCAGGCTGTAAACAGAAGGGAGAAACCCAATGCAAATTTATGTCACTGTTGGTTTGGGATTCATCTGTCTTACAGGAGTACTTTTCGCATCCTAGACAGTAAAAGCAGTAGGAGATTTCAGTGGCTGCAAAAGCAAACCATGCAGTCATATGGCTCTCCACAACAGCTTACACTGGGACTTATACAAGCCATACCCTCACGTACACCAACCATCCCCTCCAACCTATGGAAAGGAGGAAAGAGTAGCTGACGTTAAGATGCACAGATACAACTCAACAGAGAGCAGCAGGAAGGTTTCCTAATTCTTGCCTCCTTCCCTCGCAGCATCGTGACCACCATCCCAGCTCTGAGGACAGCCAGAACTGGCTTTCGATCTGCTCTACCCCACCTACACCAAACCAACTGTGGCTGAAGTCTTGTGGACATCCCACTCCAGGCTCCTGATGGGCCACCAAAGGCACACATCCTCCTCCCCAAGTAAATTCTTTCTCTGACCTTCATATAATTGTTGGGATACCTGCAAGACATACTTCCAGTTCTAATGGGAGAACCTCTAAAATACTTCTTGTCAAGAGGAACCGGCACACAGAGCTTGGGCATCACCTCCAGAACAAAATGAGAGAAATGCAGTAAGAAATCTTTTCCTAACAACCTTACAGGCCAAGCCCAAGCACAGAGTATGCTATAATGATGTGTGGAAGTGTACGCAGAGGGACGCGGTACATCAACACCACAATCAGAGACTGAACTCAAAGATATTTCCTCAAAGATAATCTGACAGAAATCACTTGTCTTGGTGTTGGATAGGAAGTGGGTGAAGCTACTTCAAAGTAACTGTAATGCACTTGATCTGCCAAATGAAAAATATGATGCTTAAGATCATTAATCTCATCCTCCTTCTTCTTTTTTAATTTAAAGGGAATTTTCCTTCCAGTGAACTGAAAATTAACACTACCACAAGAATCTCATCCACCAACAGACTGCAGCTGAATAATACTCTGAGATAAAGTGTCAAATAAGAGGAGCACCTATACACCACACCCACTGAGTCACTCATTTGAATAAAAGAGATAACTAGATTATAATCTCAACATTCCAAAACACACTAATTTTTTACATGTCATATAAATACTAAAGAGTGAGCACTGTTGTTCAATTGCAGGTTTTAGTCATAAGGAATAACTATTTGAATCTTACTTGTGGTTCAACTTCTGTATGATATTCCAAGTTGTCCAATTAAAAAAAAAAAAAAATCACTGCTGTATCCCAACCCAACATATTTCTCTTTTTTATTAATAAATGACAATGAATGAGACAAATGCTGCTTTTGTCAGAGCTTATATATTTTGAAAATTATAATAATAACTACAAAACAGGTATTTCAATAATGCCTTCTATTGTCATGATATGCTGTATTTAACAATTTCCATCTAGTTTATTATTCAAGTCTAACATATGTCCAAAACTGTGTCAAATGTTACAGTTCTGACTATGAAAGTTAACTAAGTATTGGTAATTAAGCGTTCATGATCTGATGTCCAGAAATCAAACTTTCATCTACCCTTAAACTTTCCTAGAAAACCAAAACTGCTAAATTGTTACTTTCAAGAATCAAACAGAAGAGACGGATCAGCCAAATCACAATGCTATATGTGAGAAGAGAATGGGGTCACATCACTGAAATACACCTTTGTATTTCATCACAATCACGCTTAGCTGGAAGTGCTGAAAACATGTCTACAATTCACAGACAGACTTCTCAACTAAAAAAAAAAAAAAAGGTATTTGTATTAACAAAGGAAGTAACAAACTGAATAATATTCCAAGGAAACAGTCTATTTTCACATGAACTGAATCTCACTAACTTACAAAGTACAACAATGAAACATTTTAAAAGGACACTAGCAAAGGTTGTCTCAACATTTTATATTTTCCTGATGTGTATCTGTCAATACATGTTCCCTCTATTACACATCTTTTAAGCTCCCATAAAATCAAACGTTTGGTGAACCTAAAAATCATACAGAGATACTAACAACGTAAAACCTTAGTTCCCTCTTTCAACATCAGATTGTCAATAACCGTATTTTGATTAAAAATATGCAAGTTCTTTAAAATACTGATTTTTCATTCCTAACAATAATTTTCTGTCCTTTTTCTGGTATTAGCTCGGTTACCAAAGGAAACAGGAGCTGATGAGTTTACGCACGTTGTCAGACTGTATGTCCTTCCCTAATAAATTTCCAGTGTTTGGGCAAACACACCATGATGGAGAGAACCCTGGGAACACAGACGCTTCCCACAGAATGAGTTAATCTGGTTTACTGAAGAGAAGAGAGACATCCCTGTCCACTCACCCCCAAACTAGAGTTTCCACGGAGGGACCGACGGCCATTCGAGTTGAGCTTCAAGCCGGTCAGTAAGCATTCCAGTAGGGCCTGCTTCCTCCACATACCCAGCCCAGAAGCAGGCCGCTGGGAGCTGGAAATACCCCGCGGACCTGCTGGGACCCTGCCCGTGGTGGTCCTGGGCAGGGGAGGAGGAAGAGCTGGATTTCAGCGGTGGAAGGACACGCAACGCAAACCCCCAGGAAGGCAGGCTTCAGCAGGTGGGTTGCCCCTGGATAAACTCTGTTCTCCAAGCGGTACAATGCTGATAGAACGGACAGAGAGACACCACAACCCCCAGGACTACAAGGAACAATTTAAACTCAAGAATCAGACATCCTCAGGTGTATTTTCCTCCCTGTAAGTTCAAGCAGCTGGGGGAAGGGTGCTAATCAACCGCTAGGTCTGCTCATAGAGTTTAACCCATCACTGGAAACACAATGAAAAGATCAGACTGGTTAGTAGCTTTCTGAGCTTTTTACTACTAAGCATGGCAACAACACAAAAGCAAGTAACGAGGGTCATTTCTACAGGCTCTGCTGCACTGCAGATAACCGTACAAAAATAGTACGACTCAAAGAGCAACGGCCTAAAAACAGATGTTGGTATTTTCCTATTTCCCTCCCGCCCTTTCCCTTAAAATCTGATACACAAAAGTACTTCAACATTTAAGATTATCGTTATATTGCATATTTTGCCAGGCCTGCACTCAGGGCTTCAGTCATGGGGTTTAATCATCTGCTGTTGTTGTGTCTCAAGCAAAGCAAAGGTGGCCAGGGTCAGGAACGGCTTCTTGCAGCTCTCAGACTTCACGCTGCAAGTCGCAGCCTCCACACTGCGATAGGTGCCTTTGCAAGCGCTGTGCCTGCAGCCAAGTCAGACACCTGGCTTCAACCATGACCGCCACCTGCCCCTCCTCCCTTCCCAGTACTCACAAATAAATTCGTTAGCACTCCTTAATTTGCTTCAAGGACCAATCAGAGGTATCGTCAGAAATCAGAAGGAGGTGTATGTATCTCAGCCCAAATTCCCACATGGTTTCTTCTTTCATCCATATTACACATGCAGGAGGAAACCCAGGCTTCCCTAAAAAGTCTGGATCTCCTTTGCCGTGAGGCTACCTGAGCGCTTCAAGCTGCAAGCCTGAAGACATACACAAATCCCTACCTTTAAATTAATGCCCATGTGGTTTTTGTTGAGTAGAAGACCCTAGACAGAACATCCGACAAGTTATAAGAATATTTCTGCAACCCTAATAAAAATATGCTAAAACAATTCCTAAATGAGTAACAGAGACATTTCAAAAAGCTTCCTGATTCTAGCTAAAAATAAAACAAATATTTTATTTAGAAGTATATGGGCTTTTGAAGTCTTCAGACTTTGCCAAACTATTCAATTTCTCATACTCAGGCACAGAGATAAAAACTCATCAGGGCTGAGATGATCACAGGAAGAAGCTGGCACAGGCTGCTCTTTCATATGCCCTCACAGTTTTTCTGCCAAAAATACATACATCTGATCACAAATGCTAACTACTATACATTTTTCATTTAAAGGCAACGACCTTCTCTGCTCCAGTGTGCCATACAACATTTTATGATCATTGTGTAGTACCAAATTCATTTAACTAGGCAGCAGTATCAGAGAGCTAATAATTCCATTTGACCGTTTGGATCCATTTGACCTGACAGAGCTACCGCTTGTCGCATGAAATACTCCAAGTTTACCGATACATAATTCTGTCTCTAATCACACCAGTAAAGCGATAACCTAGTAAATACAGAGACGTACTTAATCTCTAGTAAAAATGACAGAATTAGTGTCACAGGAGCATAGTGTGCACATGTACAGAACTATCTCCCAGCAACGACTTGGAATACCCATGATTTTTTGGTTTTCATCACTCTGAATGTGGACTTCAGTTCTTTCATTGCTAACAGAAACACACTCCTGAAAATGCAGACTGAAAATTACAGTTTCATCATGCATAAACCTCAGGCAAGCATACTGTGAAATATTTTTACTATGCAAATAATTATATCAACTATCGATCTCATCAAGTGACCCTACTGCTGAAGGCTATACTACTAATAATAAACAGCAACAGAAGGAAACATAGAATAAATCTGTTTGAAAATCAGATTTGTTTGATGCATATTCCTCAAGTTATTTTAGAATACCAAAACCTCAAAAAATTCGTATGAGCATTCTAATAAACATACTCGGTGAAAGTTCGTTAACCTTGTTATTACATTTGAAGTTTGCATGTCAGAGCAGAGCCTTACACTCTGCATACTTCGGAACTGGTAAGACTCTGTGTGCAGAAGGAACAACTGGATATTTTAACCAACCAGACAAACGGCTTTGTAATAGCAACATAACTATTTTTTTAATTAAACTGAAAAAAAAATACTGTTAGAAGTCATTTTCATTAGTTATTTTTCCATATAGAACACACTGTGTGCCAGTATTACACTAAAGCAGTTCCTATGATGCTTGAAGTTAACTGTTCAACTGAGGAAATGAAATTGATTTTTTTTTGGCAAATTTAGTTTCTCAAAGCAACAGTGGACAGAGTAAACAATGAATGACTGCAATTTCTCCAGTTATAATACTCTAATACACCATATCTACCTCCATGAGCATGAAAGTAAAGTACCTGCATTTATATAAATTTATATAAATTTATATATAGATACACACCTGCAAAGTGCCTCCTTTTATTTTAATGGCTCAGAACAAGATCTTGACTGAAAGACATGTGCCATGTTGATTTGGAAAGACTCAAAGCACATGCTTAGAAATTAAGACCATCTATATTTTCTTAACTAAATATGATGTTGAACACAGCGAGAGGTCTAATGGAAAATAATTACAAAATCTTTTTCAACAGAGCAAGAGTAGTGTAACAGCTTTTTCTTTCTCGCCCACTCCTAGCACACTGCAATCCAATCGATTTTAGTATGTTTTTTAAGACTCCAGAAAGGTCCTCAACTAGTATTTTTAGATTTTATCCTCAAAGTGCTTCTCTACAATGTCCTCACGTAACCAGCCAGTGGTTGAGCTTATAAACTAACTTGATTAACATACTTGCTCTGATATTTGAGTTTCTTGAAACCTCATGATACGGCCAGGGAAGAATCACACTTGTGTCGAGTAACTTCAGGGTACCGTGTTTTGTATCATCATATACAGGTTCTTATTTTAATGCCGGTATTTGTCAGAGAAGTACCACACCAACAACTACACACTTTTAGAATTCCAGTTCAACAACTGAAAAAACAGTTTGTATGCTTGACATTGTAACATAAACATATTCTGCTCATTTGTATGTCTTCCATTTTCCTTTTATTTGAACAAAGCAAAAAAAAAAAAAAAAAAAAAAAAATCTATCTTTTAAAATTACACAGCTCATCTGGCAGATTAACAATGTAGAACAGTTGGGGAAAAAATTTACTTTATCAAAATAGAAGGGGTTTATAGCAACAAGTAAATTCTTACACAAGTACTGAGATAAAATCAGCTTCTGTATATAAAACAACTTAAGTCAAATTGAGTTTCACTACTGAGTAAGATAAATTCATTTTCTAAAATCATCCCCAAAGTGTTGATCATTACAGGAGCAGGACTGGGTTTAAAGAAAACTGTTCCAGTTGAATTCCCAGTACTCACTTTCTCCACAAGCTGTTTTGGCTCAGTGTTTTAATGCTATTTTAATTTTTTTTAGATAACGCTTTAAAAATAAGTTTGAAAAAGATTTCTGCTTAAACACAAACAACCAGAAAGTAGATTTTTGCTATGAGTCCCTCTTCCAATCACTTCATTTTCCCATTTTCATAAAACAAATTTTCAATAAAAGGCAGGAAAAAAATCAGGAAAAGGTTCCATTGCATTTTCTCACATTATCTCGAGTCATACACCTATTTTTCTGTTGAAGACCCAAGAAGTAAAAAAGGAAAGGAAAATATTTGAACATTTATGTAATACAAGAAAAAACTCTACTGAGTTCAGGTTGTTTCGCAAAATTTGTTTTTGGTCCACTGACAAATTATTACTGAAAAACAAAAGATTCAGTAAGTACACCTGGTTCAGAATAATTATTCATTTGTATTAACATAAAAAAGTTGCAAAGAAATGCATAACTAACTTCAGAGAGCAGCAGTCCTACAACTATCGGTTGAAACCACCTTGCAGAAGCCAGATTGTTCAATGTCATAAAAAGACATACCTTTTTATCATATACATCTTGCCAGTTTACTCCAGCAAAGAAACTATGACGCATGATTTCTTTTGCATCATCTGGGCCTCCACCAAGTCTAAACAGAGTAGAAAAAAAAAAAAAATCATTAAACAAGCATTACTCTTAAAGGGAGATTAAGTTATTGTAACAGTTGGAAAAGTGACTATTTGTATTTTACTACCTGGGAACAATTCTCACCCATTTAATATGTAATTCCCACCTGTTTACTATGCATTCAGGTCATGTTGAGAGAAAATATGATAGCAGAAGTACCCATGCCATGGTCTATTCTATTTGATTATTCCAACTATAGCGTTCGTTACTGTCCATTATGAGCTTCTTCAATAATTAATTTGTTTTAAAAACATACTTAAGTTTAGTTTTCTTGAAAGACCAACTAACATTCTGGCACTATTAAAAACCAAAACCAACCCAGCAATGCTGACACAAAATTTTGCCAAGGAGGTGCCAGGCACTGAATCAGTAATGACACACACATCATTTTTATACAGTGTTCGCTGCTGTTGCATCTGGGTGCTGTAACAATTAACCAATTACCATAAAATAGTCTCAATCTGAGTCAATTAGTATAAATTAATAAATTGTAGGCCTACTGAGAAGGTTATTTAAAGGCCATTGTAAATAACCACACCATTCACTGTGGCCCATAGCTTGCCAAAGCCAGACTCTGTCTGATAAATCATCTTAGGAACTGAATTCCACCTACTTTGGGTGAACTTGCCTAAGGTGAATTGAGCTCATGGAAGTGGTCAGTGCTGCCAAAAGGAGGGTCCCACCCCTGCCCATACCCCTCCCCTCCCACTTGCATCTACAGCATCATTCCCACTGGTGACTGCGAGCTGAGTCAGCCCACTAACCTGGAAGAAAACTAACCCCGCAACAAGAAAATGAGAAAGAACTGGCCACTTTTCCTGCTGCATTAGCAAGCCAATTTGACTCAACAGGTTTAGTGAGCTCCCTTGAGCTCCTTGTTGATGGAGAAGGAACCACACACCCAGCGAAGGGAACCTCTGCCCCTCTCAAGAGCACGTGGACTTTCATGTGCTCAGCTCTCAACTACCTTCTTCCTGACACTGGCTATCCTACTGCTCTAACAGAAAGAAGTTGCAACAAAAAAACCAGCTAATCTTAACTGAACAAACAGCCCACAGATATGAAATATTGACAAGAAGAGTGACACAAGTACTTTGTGTTTCATTAAAAGGAACTGCTAAAAGATATAAAGAGAAATTTTAAAAGCAACCTTTTAAGTAAGATAAATGCCTCTCTAAAGCATTTATTGCAAGAAGCAATAATTCCCACAGACAAGAAAGAAAAAATCCTGTATTGGTATTAACCCTGCTGCCAAATTATGAAAATATTCTGGACTACTGCCTCAGTCTTGCAGTAACCGGGTGTAAAGTTATTCTCATTTCCAGGCTGTATTGCTCTTTGTTTCTCAGCTACTCATTTTTAAATCCTCTACATTTTTGCAAAGCATCCCAGTTAGCCTGCACTCTCCAGACTTCTATCAATATCATCCTATTCAGCTGCTCAGAGAAGAGCAGAGGGAACCTGAATGTGAATAAGCTTGTAAATGTTAAGTCTGTAATAAACACTACTGTCTGCAAACATTAAATACAAGGAAGTATTTTTTCCATTCCAAAGGTTAATATATTTGATGGGTCAGATTGTTTGGAGGTTACATTGCATTAGGGAGTTGCTACAGGAATGAAGTTTTACTTTACTCTCCACATATTTGTCTGGTTGGTCACCGTTTGTTTTTACTGTACCCAGTAAACTCAGTTAAACGGGCATGGCTGGGCAGCAGCAGAAAGGCTGGCCGCTGGTGTGCTGTCCTGGCTGCTGCATTTCACTGCGTGCAAGCAAATCCCCCAGAGACACAGCAAGCAGTCCTGCCCTGAGTGCCAGCGAGCAATGCCCACTGCTGAAAACTTCCTGAGAACAAACTGAAGATGAAGGAGGACCAGAGAAGAGAGACAGACAGACAGAAGAATGCCTGCAGCCTTAAAACATGTCAAGACACTTGCAAGAACAACAGAGAGATTGGGGAAAAGAAGGGAGCTACAGCCAAATCTCACAGATTTACAAAGACAGAGATTTGTTTTAGAACCACAGGGGACTGGACACGGCTGGTCCAGTGCAGGAGCCGCTGGAATACAGCTCTCCTGGGCAACATCCCAGAGGGAAAAGCCCACCATAAAAGGGCAGAGGAAGCAGCTAGGTGATACTTGCTTTCAAACCACTGGATTTAAACTTCATTCAGAAGATGTATTCTTCAACAAGTTAACTAGTTTGCATGGTCTAACACGTGACTGATTTACATGCCCTAACAAAATTTCGCTGTGGCTGTCTAGAGATGTCTTCTGGCATGATCGCTTCCAAGAAGAAGCGCTGTAGTCCCCGTAAGACACTACGGCCAACTCAAGGTTAAGTCATACTCTGAAAAACAATTGAGAGCTTTCCCTTTGTTCCTACACACAACCTAAACCTGAAAAAGATCCCTGTGTTTGCTGTGAATGATTTAAAAAGTGTTCTCTTCCACCCGCTTTTTGCCCTTTTGCTTGTTAATCTCACTTTGTGTATCGTTGTTGTATTGAAAAATTGGAAATCTGAGACTACATGGCTGCATATGGCCCTTTCCTGTGACTGACAGGTCCTTCAGCCAGGAAGACAGGCACCACTGGCCTATTTTTACATTACTCAGTATAATTAGAGTATATATTATGCCTGTATACCCGATTAATTTCACTTACCGCTTATTTGGATCCTTTATCAGTAGGCCTGATAGTAATGATTTTGCATCTGCAGAGAGAGTTCGAGGAAATTTTATGTCCTCCATTAGTATCAGTTCAAATAGTTTCTCATGATCTTGGTTGTAGAAAGGTAATCTTCCACACATCATTTCATACATGACAACTCCTAATCCCCACCAGTCCACTGCACGACCATAGTCATTATCTTCCAACACCTAAGATGGAAACCAAAACCAGCGGTAAGACATGCGCTATTTCAGACATGATCTTTTTAGTCTATTTGATACATCTGTAGGAACATGTTTCCGAGACTCTATTTTCACAGTATGCTACAGGGACTCCCAGAACCTGGCTCAATACATGCAACTGCAGTACTGACGCACACCTGAGCTCACTGGGGATACTGGGGACCATACTGCTAAAAGCAAAATAAAAAATTAAGAATGACCTGCTCAAAATGACCGTAACTGCCTCTTCCCCTTTCCTGTGTCCTCTACCATCCCATTTACAGTGTACACAGCTGTAGCAAGAGACACTATCTACAGGCACTACTGCCTTGGTTAGCACTCTGCTGGGGGATGTGGAGCACCTCACTGCTCAGTCACTTACTCTCTCCTTACCCCACCTGTAAGAATAAAGCCTTAAATTTAGAAACACCTTAATCTTACTAAGACAAGCTTAGCTTCTTTATGATCTTTGTTTATATTAAAAGTCCTCAATGTGTTTCTGACAGTTTCGTTATGTTCCATGAAACAGCTGAACTGTGCTAACACGAAGAAAAATGACAATGTTTATAAGATATTATGTTCACCATGATATTACAGGTATATGATATTATACGATCACAGAAATAAGGTAACTTATATAGTTCGATAACATAATGCCTCCAAAGTTGTGTACCTAAAAACAGCCTACTCCACAGCCCTGCTCCCAGCACCCCCCAGAACTGGAACAAGGAATGTAACCTTAATACACCTTCATATTAAACTGTAGAAATGGAGACAACATAACAGCGCTTACACCCATAACGAAACCATAAGCAATAAGGAAACAGAAGGCTACTGAACAATATATATATAATTCCAATTTCTGTGAATTTCTAGAACATCATACCCTTTCATTCAAAGAAGATGCAAAAGTGAGAAGTTACTAAATGGTAATACAGAACACACTACAACTGTGTGTGCCAAATTGCCAGTATTTGCTGCAGAAAGACCTATTAAAGAGGCAGAAACCTTAAAACAAGAAAATTAGACTTAAATAATAAACAGATCAAAGAAATGCAACTAATAGAGTTGGAATATATATATAAAGAACTAAATAATTCCTTTAAAACACTTGTTTCTGTATCATTAAAAGGCAGATTCTGAAAGGTAGCACATATGACTGATTTAAAAAAAGCCAAACCAACAACTCATCCACAGAGAACAAAATAGTTTCTACAACATACAGGCACATGCAATCACCACCACAAAGATCTCACCCAGATTCAAACTGTAAGCAGACACAAAGGAACATTCATTTAGATATATAGCAGTGAAAATCTGGTGATGTGTAGTAAAGCATTCGGGCTTTAATGAATAACGCAACCTTTAATGGATCAGGAATAACCTTCTTCCACGAGTACATTATCTTGTGATTGTCTAAAAAGTGTAAGATGACTTCCAATAATTTCCTCTGAAGCAAGGGCAGACACAGTCCTCACCCATCTGGGGACACCAAGTGGCCCTGACCACACATGCTCTACCCTCACCAGTCCCAACAAGGGGTGTCGAGCTCCTTTATCTGCCACTCTTTTTTCTCCCCCAGTAAGTCCAAGCCTGCTCTGAAGCATCTGATACATGCTGTTAGCAGAAACACAATGCAATCTGATCCAGTATGGCAATTTTGACATCCCACAGTAATTAATACATTCATATTCCTGGTTTTCACTGTCCTTAAGGATTAGTAGCAGAAACATGATGAAAAGAGTTGTATTGCAAGTCCCTCTTGTGTATATAAGATTAAAAAATCATAAATATTAACACATTAACACATACTATTTACAAATGTGCCAAAACACACAGACTCGTTACATCACTGATATTTCCAAATAGAGGGTGAAATTTTGGAACGTGTAAAATACAACAAATTATCTGAATAAGTACGTATGACAAAACTAACTAAACTCCTACATTTTAAAATTAATTACATGTTTGATGAGTTTAAGCATATTGCAAGGTATTTGCTGAAAAATAGTATATGAAATCTGTGACACTTCTCCTTAAGTCACTGTTTCTTCTGCCATAGAATAAAGGCATTATATATTTTTCTACTACATCTATTAGCACTGGTACTATTTCTCCTATCTGTACAGTTAGCTACTCTTTTCTTTTGAAGCTAGTAAAATACATAAAATCAGGAGGCAGTGGTAGATTCTTTCTACAAGTAAGTTAAGGTGTGGTTTGCATGTGTGATTTATAAAAGAAGGCAACAGGAAGATAAAACGTATCATTCTCTGAGCAAGGCAAATCACACGGCCAGCAGCTGAAGCCAACTGTATCTGGGGCTTTACCTAATTTATGCAGGACTTTACCTAATAATAATAAAAAGTATGAACAACCTTTTGCTGCATTCCCACAACAGCAACAAAACAGTGGTACAAAGAAAGAGCCAAATGTGATTTTTAACCTCTTTTTACATAAAATCATAAAAAAACATAAAAGCTAGATAAACTGCCTCCTGAACCCACATATCACCAGCCGGGTTCTCATCCCCAGCTGGCAAAACTGGCAACTCTTTATTTTTGTTTAAATACCTGGTTTACAGCCAGCCAGACAAGCAAGAGCATCAAAAGGGTTTCATTCAGGCAAAAGGAAAACAGCCTGAAAATAGTGTAAATAAAGCAAAATGCATCTCAACTTATTTTAATATATATGTAATAAAAACTGTGCATAATGCATTCACTGTAAATACACACAATTATCTTAAGTCATTTCTACTCCTCACAGTGCTAAGAAATTCCAGGATTTGTAGACTGTGACAAATCAATGGAAGTGCTGGAGTCCAGCGGCTCCTATGACCAAATCCATACAATCAGGGCAGGCACGAGAGCATGTCTATACACACTGCCCCAGCACGACAGAATCCTTTCCCAACAACTCTTGGATTTGAGGGATTTGGTTTAAATTACACTAAACATAGGTCAAGAAAGCTTCAACTCAGTGCTAAATGGATGTGACACATAGCTGCAGGGTTTGTACCTATGAATAATTCAATCTTTTGCCTACCATGAGGTGGATACCTGCTTTTAGGAATGCCTCCTTTGGCTGCGAGGACTGAATACTGCTGTCCCTCCAGCATTTCTGGGGTATCCTTGTATATGTGGGGTACCAGCCTAAGCACCTGGCCAGGCACAGACACAGTGGAAAGTTTGATCTCTTGAGACTTTGTACACTGCCCTTAAAAGCTGCCTCCATCGTCTCCAGCCAATTCTTGTCCCTTCCTATAAGGGCCCACGCATCTGCCTTTAAGCAAATACACTGTCCCAACAACCCAGTCCCTTCAAAGTCACAGCAGGAAAGGCAGCAGGCCCACCAAAACCGTCGCGAAGGGCACAAGCTCAACCACTCTGGTATCTGGTTTAAAGTAATATATTAATATTTTCTGGTGGTATCACACAGAAGGATCATACACAACTCATAAACTACAGCAAAAGCAGCTACAGTGAGTACATACTCCAGTCAGGTGCATTTTCATGAAGTAAAGATGAAGCTATGAGCTTTCTTCCACTAGATTTGTGTAAATCTTCAGATCGTTCAGATATATGACTCCTCTTCCTTCATCAGCTTCACACACGTGCCGTGCCAAAATCCCAAGCCACCTCATCAAGACCTAGGTGAGGCTTCAGGTGATGAGAGCTCCAGCACAATATGCTTCCAGGCATATGCAAGTATTTCAGTGCTTTTATGGATGTTTTAGAGGCACTGGCCAGTATATTGTTTCAGCTAAGGGACAGCTGTTTATTTACCTTAGAACTTTTATTTGTATTGTGGTCAAAAGGCAACCCAAGTCTTTTTTAAATTTACTGAGATAGCACGAATAGCTAGCTGTGACAAGGGAAAACCAAGTATTCCCTAGTGACTCCACTGTCTCTGCACACTTTGGAGTTTCTGGAGGGTATTATCAGCAATGACCAAGTATACGATAGGATAGTGTTTCATGCACACAGCAAAGACCATCAAGCCCTGCACACAAAATAAGAAATTCAGTTCACAGCCTGAACTGTGCCTTTGTGATGACTAAGGCGACATAAACACACTGGAGTGCTGCTAAGATCGCAGTAATTAAATTGTGCTGGCCCCTTGCACATAACAATTAATTTTGCTGACAAGCAACTACAAATCAGAAAAAAAAATTTTATTGTGTTTGCATTTATTGACAAAAAACAATCTTCTAACACTATTCCCCACTGCTGAAAAGTCCAGTGTCTTGGACTCAAAAATATTAATAAAAATCACTAGTACCACTGGAAGCTTTCTCTTTCACAGAAAACAAAATCCATTAAAGACACTTCCTCATCTACTTCACCAGTGGTAGGAGATTTTAATCTTTAGCTTTAATCAGTCAATGCATCCCCAGGAGTCCTTTCCTTTAGGTACGTCACTCCTTTAAGAGCCTAACATACAGTCCACAGAATTTGATGTCCATTCAATTTTTATGGTGAAAACCAGTGAAAAGCTATCTTTTATCATATAGGCTCTTTATTTCTTCAGTAGCTAGAACCGAAAGTTTTCTGGGCTGCAGCAGCTTGACACACATCTGCAAACTCTTATTTTTACAAAGGCTTGGGGCAGAGACTTAGGAAGCAGGCAATTAAATGAGTCAGCCAAAGAGAAGTCAATACAAACACATGCCATGCTTTTACAAGGTTCAGTGAGAATTAATTTTTTAGGATTAGCCAGCAGTATAACAGGTGACCATACCTCTGTGACCATCTTAAGTCAATCACGTACTTCCCCTTGCCTTCAGTGACACTAGGATTCTCTGATGCTTCACTAATGACAGAACACTGGACAAGGTGTGACTGTCTAAGACGCAAACTGAGCTGAATGTAGAAAATCCCTTAATTCTGTTTTTCATGCATTTTCTTGAAACAAAACATCCCTGATGAGCAACCTCTGGAAGATTTTTGGTTATACAGCATAAATTCACACAACCAAGAAATGGACTTTCC